CAGCAGCCTCTGCTACCCCTCTGTCCCCCCTCCAGTGTTCCGCTCTGCGGTAAGACGGGCCGGGGAGGGGGCATCGGGAGCAAGGGGCCGGGGCTCCCTTCCTCTCCCCTGGAAGTGGAGTGTCTGTGTGCGGAGCTCCGGGCCCCTGGTCGGCGGGGGGAGGGTACCCCCTCCCGCGGGTGGTGGTGGGGCTAGGGAGGCATCCCAGAGCCCCTCTCCCCAGGCGAGGCGGGAGGGGGAAGAGAAATCCCAGAGCCCCTGTTGGAGGCGGTAGCTTGGGAGTGATATTAATGTTTCGAGCCCTACGAGCCCCTAATCCTGATCCTAGGGTAGTAGGGAGCCCGTTTCCCAATCACCAGCCCTAGTGTGGGACCCCAGGCTGGGTGTGTCCATATCAGGGCCAACGGACTCTGTACCTAGGGTGAGACAATGGGATGAGCTGCACTCAAAGGGCACTGGCAATGTAAGGAGAACATGGTAGGGAATCCTGAGAGGGGTCAGGTGGGAGGTGTCCTTTTGCCCCAGGGTTTTGGGTATTAGTGGGGCATAGGGTGTCTGACCCATGGGTGCTGGACACTGGTTGGCAGCTGGGAGGGGATCAGTTCTTGGTCTTGTTTCTGGTTACATCTGGTTCTGATTTTCTGAGGGGGATAGGTCTCCAGAAAGGGCTGGGAAATGCAGTTTATCAGGTTGCCCCAAAGCCACGGGGGATATCTCCCACTGCTGCATGTTTCAGTGAAAGCAGAGGTATCATCAGCCAGAAGGTCAGAGTGTCAGATGCTGTGGTGGCCTTTGAAAAGGCCTGGACAATTGTGCGACTGATAAAAAGGTGAGTTCCGCAAGTAACAGCGAGAGAAGCAGGGCCGGCTCCTGCAGGGGTAGGAAAGAATTCCCCTTCATGTCCAGAACTGCATGACGGGTAGGCCCTTTATGGAGATTTTTTTACCTCTCTCTGATGTGTCAGGTAACAAACTTTACCCGAGGCAGAAGACCGAATTGATGGGCTGATCCAGTATGACTAAGTCTGTGCCCCTATCTGCAGACAATCAATAGTATAGCTTTAGCAAGTATGGAACAATTCAGATGATGCAACATTGGACAGCCAAATGGGAGAGCCAAGCCATGATGTGTTTTCCACTCATTCAGACCATAAAGCGGATGAGGCATTGCAGAGGCTCCAGAGATAATATGCGTCTGCTTTGTGACTCCGTGGGCAGTTGGCTTGTCTCTGCTGTGTCTAAAATAGGGCTAAACCCAGGTTTACTTGATCTGGTTTGGAGGACTATTTACATGATCTAGAATTCTGTTTTTAAAATGCAGTTTGACTCTTAAAAATGGCATAATAGGGCTTCACCTTCATTGTCCTGCAGTGATTTTCAAGGTCATCCTTACCCAAGTTTACAAATAAAAATCTCTTTTCTCTAACCGCCAGCCCCACAAACGGCCCCGGGCTCTGAAAGTCAAGCTGGGTTCTTGACTTCTCACATCTCACCACAGACAAAAGCTTCTGTGCTCAGTTACAGCTGTGCAGCCTCAATGCACTGTACCTGAGGCCAGAATGAGACCCTGCAACAGGGACTTTGTAAATCATTTTCTTGATGAGGCATGAGGCAGGCTAGACCCCTGCTCCCTCCCCAGAGCTGTGCTGGCCTTGGTCATTGCATTCAGTACGTGTGTTTCTGGCTGCACAAGGGAGCAGTTCCATTGAATAAGAAGGTGCCTTTTTAGTTACTTGTCAGTGCAGTGCTCTGGGAATACATGTTCATTCGATTCACTGATTCAGGTGTGAACAGTTAATGGTATGTCTACACTGCAGTCGGGAGGTGTGATTGCAGCACGGGTAGACATACTTGAGCTATGTGGGGGCTTGTCTACACTTGAAACGACGACGCTGTAGTGCTTCAGTGTAGACAATGCCATGCAGTGTAGACGGGGTCTCCCATTGGTGGAGGTAGTCCATCTCCCTGGGAGGCAGTAGCTAGGTCGATGGAAGAATTCTTCGGTTGACCTCGCGCTGTCTACACTAGGGGTTAGGTTGGCTTAATTAGAATGCACAGGAATGTGGATTCTTCACACCCCTGAGTGATGTAGCTGGGTCGACCCTACTTTTTCGTGTAGACCAGGCCTGAGCGTGGAGGGTTTTAACTCTCGAGCTGGTTCGGCCGACAGCTTTAGTCTTCCTGCAGACAGGGAGCCAGTGCCATCAGTGACTGGAAGCGTTACAATTGCTAGCGAGGGAAGGAGGTTGGGAAACAAAGAAAATCCTAGGGATGAAGGGCCAGGGAAAAAACCCGATCAACTTGTATTGTGCCTAAAACTCTCCGAAGTCCCAGAACAAGGAAAGGAGGGTTGACTCATCACGATAATGCTTTTCAATAAACCCCCCAGCTCCACATGTTGATTTCTTTGGCTGCTGTTGCTTAATAAGCTCATCATTTCATAGCCGCCCCGGTGAGGCTGTGACGTTAAAGCTCTGGTAAGGTGAAGTGGGGCGGCAGAGCTCCACACCTTTCCCTGCTCCTGTTGTGTAGCTGGAGACAATGGTCTGAGTCAGCTCCCGGGAAGGTTCTCTGGGCTGGGGCAGAGCTGGCAGCGTTCTCTTTCTAAAGGAAAAGGCAGAGTCTGCAAAATACAGCCCCCAAATGGAGGGAGATGCACTAAAAATGTAGAACGTTGCCCCCCAGGAGCACTCCCAGTTGTGCCCCTGGAGTTTGCCAAGGGACCCTGCGGCTCAGCATGGCACTGCATGGACATGAGCCATGTCTTGAGGGAAATGGAAGGTCAGTCTGCCGTAATGCCTGCCTAGCTCCCCCTCCCCAGGCACGGGATTGGGCGGTTGGCGTTTGATGCGCTCGCATTGCGTTTTATTTGCTGGTGGTACAGAGAACTAGTTGTATTGTACACGCCCCTCCCCTCTTCAGCTCAAATGTGATCTTTGTTCTGCAGTTGGTGCCCAGGCTGGCTTCTGTCCAGCTACAAGAATGTAGAGTTGTGTGGCTGTGGATCCCAAGCAAGGGGAAGATCTCGCCTCCTGGAAAACCTGTTTGGTCGGAAACAAATAACAATGCTGGAGACCTACGGTGCAGCCAGCACAAAACCTCCTGACGTGAGCTTCACGTGGCTAAGAATTCCACGGCCCACCTGTTTGGCTTTGTCCTTTCTGTGCCCTCCCGCGGGTGTAAACGGGTTCACCTGAACCTGATGGTATCTTCCACTTCTGTGTGTAGCATCTTGGCTCCCTCGGGGAGATGGGAAGGGCCTTGACCCCCTTTGCTCAGACTCCTGACCTGATGAAGTGTCCCTCCACCAGGGGAGTGGTGGGAAAGAGAAGACAGCCAGGGCAGGACGTGGGGAAGGGTCTGCTCTCTCTCTCTGCTGGTTCCTCCAATTTCTCTCCCAGGACCGTTTCCAGCAGATGGAGAATTGGGGGCAGGATGCTGCTGCAATCTTTGCCTACCTGCAGGTACCTCTTCAGCAAGGAGGAGGAGGTTAATAAGGGACGGGGATGGTTGCTCTAAAGGCAGAAGACTAGGAGTCGGGGTTCCCAGGCTCTGTGTGATGTGGGTGAGTCAGTCTCTGTGTGCTTCAGTGTTGCCATCTGTGAAATAGGGATAATGAGGCTCACTCACAGGATGCAATGCCAGCGATGATTGTTGTTATTATTAGAGCACCCAAGAACGTGCTCGGTGTTGTGAGACGGCAATCATTCCGGTTCGAGATTCCTGGCTGGCAGAGGCCACATCAGGGCTGCAGAGAATGGTCTGACTAATGATCCCCTCGTGGAGAGCTGGCATTTCAGATCATGCCTTTCCTGATCTGCAGACGTTTGGTTCCCCACTCCACCTGAAGGCAGTGGAAAGGCGCCGCAGTCTGGTGTGGTTATAACAGAGTCGAGGAAGCAGGGTTGTGATCTGTCCCATGAGAATCTGTCTCTCCACCCAGGACAATTTGTGCCCGCTGTAGTAGCTGAGAGGCAGCATGGCCTAGTGGATAGGCTACTGATCTGAAAGCCAGGAGACCTAGTTCCATTTCTGCCTTTGCCACCCACTTGGTATGTGACCTTAGTCATGTCACTTCACCCCTCTGTGCCTGTTTCCCCTCCCACGCTTTGTCTTCCATGTCTGTTTAGATTGGAAGCTTGGCAGGGCCGGGATCGTGTCTTATTGTGTTTGTGTACAGCCTTCAGCACAATGGGACTCTGATTTCAGCTGGAGTCTCTGAGCGCTACCATAATATAACTAACCAGCTGCATCTGAGGAAAGTGTACCCAAGCGACGCAGGGCCATACCCCAAACAGCGCATCCTCCCTCTCTGCGGGGCTGTAGGAGGGGTAGCCCCACAGAGAGTCTTGCCTATGTTTCCCCTCCCTAGCTCAGCAATCACTCTGCCATGTCACCTACCAGCTGGGGGTTGTGCTCTCTGCACTGAGTGGCTCTTTCCTTTGGCTGCCTTGGGGCGGGGGCTGTAAAAAGCCAAGGGTCAGAGAAGGGACTGTCTATGCTCCATCTGTAAGTGTGCCTGCTAGGACCCCCACCCCCATACACGCCTAGCTCTTTCCAGGTCATGTGGCGGGATTCCCCTCGGGCTATGGGGGTGGGGGGGGGGCAGCCTTCTGTCTTTTCAGGTTCAGTGGGTCTGAAGTCACCAGACGGTGAATGCACTGGAAGTGGATCAGCTGGCAGGTCGTCTCCTCCTTGGGGAGTCCGACCCCCCCCCATGTGGTGCTAGACACTGAGGCAGAGAGCGCCCCTGGGGGCAAGGCAGAAATGGGCTAGTGACACAGTAAGGCGAACAACTCCGTGCAGCTAAATCAGCTGTGGTGTGTCTGGAGCTGCCCCCTCCTGCCGATCAGGTCACTGCAGGCTCAGTGCAGGGGGGTGGTTTGCTCGCCCAGGAGTGTGCTCTGTGCATAGGCTCCCGTTCCTGCCAACCCCACCTTTGGAGTATAAACAGGAAGTTGTGCAAGCAGGTTACTTGATCCCTCCAGGTGAGCGGTTGGGTTAGTAGAGCTGCTGCTGCAGCAGAGAGCGGAAGCCCCAGAGACACCTCAGGTGGAGCCGGCTGGCTGGTGTTCTGGAATCCAGCTGTAGCCACAAGGGGGAAAGAAAGTACAACTGGTAAGTTACTGGTGTTTGCTGTTCCGTCTCCCTGGGGCCTAGGGCCCGGCTGCAGCCCAAAGCGGAACCAGGCTCCTGCAATGGCAGAGGGCTTTCAGGAGGCCCGAGCCAAGACAGGCAGTCCAGCATTTCCAGTTAGGATCAGAGGCTACAGGACAATTCCTTCCGCTTCTTTGCAAAGCTCCCAGATCCGTGTGAAGCGCAGGGGACCTGCCCAATGGACTGGGCAGGGTTTTAGAGGAGGTCTGGTCTACAGGCCGACCTAGCAATATCGCTCAGAGCTGTGTGAGGTTTCACGCCTGAGCACTGTAGTTGGGTTGACCTAACCCCTGGGGTAGATGCGTGAGGTTGTCAGCAAGATTCTTCCACTGACCTAGCTACCAGCCCTCGGGGCGGATTAACGACTTCAACGGAAAACCCCCCTTCCATCGATGTAGGAAGTGTCTATGTCACAGAGCTACAGCCGTAGTGTAGACATGGCCAGAGTGTCTAAACCCGCTGGCAGGGCTTGATCCTTCTCTTGCTAACGCTGGTGTGAATTGGGAGTGACACGCTGAATTCAGTGGGGTCACAGCAGAGCGAGAGGGGAATCAAGCCCTAGGGCTTTCTCTCTCTGGCTCTGCTGGAAGGTAAAAGAAATGAAGCTCCGGAAAGGATCGGATTGCTGAGGGAGGGTGACCAGAAGCTCGGTGGTGGTAGAGGGGCAGGTGGGACACTGCCCCGACCCCTACGATCTCACAGTCCACTGACGTGGGCAACCTGCTTCCTGAACACGAAACCAACCCGACGCAGTCGGCACTTAACTCGGTGGCGTGTGCGGGAAAAAATGTAGGGCCTATTGAAAGTTCAAAGGAAGGTGGAGTAACCAGGAGCCGGCTGCGTGGGAGCTGAAGGAAGAAAGGGGACTGTGACAGAGCAGCACTGACCGGGCCTTTGATTGTCTTAGTTTGGAAAGAGCACAATGGAGGGCAGCGTCCTGGCTCGAGCAGAGGGGAGCATCCCCGGGATGTGGTTCTATCTGCAGGGTCACACCTCCCTCTCTCACATTTCCTCCTCCCCTCTCCCCCCTGCCCAGCAGCAGTGTGGCCAATGCACAGGATCAGGCTGCAGTCTCTGCCGTTGGGGGGCTGGGTAGTAACGGGCTAATCTAGGCAGCCAAAGGGGGGCCGGTTATTGTGCTTGTGGCAAAACTCCCCTGACTTGGAGGGGAAAGTTCCCCAGCCCGCCGGTGACGACCGTGTGTTTGCTGTGGGTTCATGGGGAGGTTGTGCAACTCCGTGCGGTTCAGTGAAGTGCACAGACGAGGGGGGAGGAAGGGGACCTGTCTTTTGCAAGTGGTTTGAAGTGCCCGACACAGGGCACTCACGGTGGGGGAGGGCCCCACGCTTTGATTGCTGCTCACTGCTGGGGGGGGCGAGTCACGGCCACGTCAGCAGCGGGGCGCTCTGGGCCCCGTTTCACAGGCCTGCGACTGCTTTTGGTGCCTCTTTTCCCACTGCGCCTATTAGCTCTGGACGAGAGGGAGATGCCGGCTCTGAGGCCTTGGGGACGCTGCTGACAGCTGGGCTCAGTGAATGTAGGGCTGGAATATCCCGATGGTTTGTGTCTCCTTCTCAAAGCACTGCCCAGACATTACTGAGTTAAACCTCTCAGCCGCCCTCGGCGGTCGCTCCTCCTGCTGGGCGTAACCCGTGGAGCGCGTCAGCGCCCGCTCTCTCTATCTATTCACAGGCCCAAGGGCGAGACTTTGTTCGGTGGGATAAGCCATTGACCGGGCTCGCGGCTCGCCGTTGCCATTCAGGAGGGCTGCCTTGCATGTATTTGCAGACTGAGAGCCAAGAGGCTGAGATTAGTGTGTCTTGATAGCCGCAATGGGTACCCTGGATCATGTGCACGACCGACGCTGCCCATCTCCTGGCTTTAGCTATTTCAATAAAAAGTGTTCAGTCTGTTTACCATGGCTCCCCCCCCCCCACCTCCCCATTTTAGTCCCCAAGTGCTTCTGGAAGTGATAGCGAAATGCCTTCTACTCTCCGGGGCCCACACTGGTCCTGGGGCACCATTACCCTCCCCTTCCCACCCACGGAGCGAGCACCCCCTTGGCAATGGCTCGGACTGGTTTGGAAGCTTCTCACAACTGTTCCTGTGATGAGCCAGGGGGTATAGCGAGATGTGCCTTGCTCTAGTTCTGCGTGTGGAAGCTCAGTCGCTTTTCCGGGTGCCCATCTGGTCGCGGGGCGTTTGCCCCTGCCTCCTAGCCAGTCGGACTGCAAGCTGCAGTTTAGGGAAAGCATGAGCGACCTCAGAGAGGTTCATTTCTTCACATTCTCTATAGTGTCTTTCACCCGTGGATCTCAAAGCTCTTCCCACAGCTGGATAACTAACCATCAGGGTCTTCAGTCTGCTGTGTCGGCTAGCTGGCTTGCAGCTTGGGGGCAGAACTAGACCTGGCATTTGCTAGCTGGCAGGGAATGCCCCTGCAGAGCCCACTGGGTTCCTTCTGCCTCCAAAGCAAAATTAATTCCACTTCTAAGTTCTCTACAAGGCTCCCTTTTTTTGCACTCCAGGGCTGGGTTTCGTGCTTGCTAGAGGAGATTGGCTCCTCATTCTGAAGCCGGAAAGACTAGTTTTCAGGGGCTAGTAATCCTGGCTGTGGGTGTTTGAGTCTCAGCTGTCAGGCTCTTCGGGGTAGGGCATTCCCCTTCTGCTGGTGACTGACAGCTCTGGTTCGAGCCCAAGCTTCAAGCAGGCTCATTGTCACTGATGTATGAACCAGGAAATTGCAGATAAGCGAAGATGCATTTGTCTGTTATCCCCATGGTGCAGATGGAGGCAGAGGGAGGTGAAGTGACACTAGACTGAGGTCACACAGGGGGAGTGTTTGCAGCAGAACACAGAGCTCCTGGCTCCCAGTCCCCAACTGTCATCTGCCAGAATGGGCAAGCAGACCTGGGTAAAAAACAGTGCCCTTCTGAACCCCCGTCCAGAGCTATACCACATCTCCTTTCTGAGCTCCGGAAGAGTTCCCTGACCAGTCCTTTTCTCCTGCACTTTGGCTGGGACCGGATGTGCTGAGGGGCTGGGAGCGTGGCTGCCTTGCCAAGGTTTTCCCAGCCCCAAGATATTCCAGTGAGCAGCTTGACCTCCCGGTGCATTTCCCGTGCGAATCGCTGAGCCTCTGAGCTTTGCCCGTTGCTAATCCCCGTGGCTAATGAGAGACAGGAGCAGTTGTAAGCTGTTTAAAATGCCCCTTCGACTAGGATTAAGGAGGGGAGGGCGGTGGAAAGAAAGAAGCCTCCAGTTTACGGAGCACTGTGTTGGAGGGAGTGCGGGGAGCTGTGTGCGTATGTGTCTGTGGAACGTCTGAGCTGTCTCAGGGCTGCTCCTCCAAGGCGTTGTAGGGTTCTGTGCAAAGTAACGAGGGTCCTTCGCCTGGCTCCTTCTATACGTCCCCTCCCCCTAAATTCCAGCCACCTCTGGCCTCCGTGACTTCAGCCCCTGCTCCCTGCGGGTCCGGGCATGCAAGGATTCACCACAGCAACTCTCCCCAACAGTCGCACTGAGGGTGACACTCACCGAGTGGACCCCGGAGGCCTCTGGGTGCTCGGCATGTGTTCACAGCAAGATCCCCAAAAGCGTGGGTGGGCTCCCTTGACGTTAGCTCTCCACTGGCTGCCCCGCTGCAGGGGAGGCACATGGCTGTCTCAGAGCTGTGTTTCCTAGCCCGGCACATGTGTGCTTATCATTGGCAGACAGCAGCTCCTCTCTGTAGCCCCCTTCCCCAGACTGAGGCCCTGGCCTTGTGACAGCGTGGGGAGGAGAGGAGAGGCTTCCTGTAGAGATTCCCTGGCGTAGCATCCGGCTGCCCGGGGTGCGTGCAGCGGCGCCAGGTCATGCCCCCCCCCCCCCCGCAGTACCGTTCCCTCACACTTGTGGCTCCAGATGGGCCAGCCCGGCCCGGCCATCAGGCTGAGCATCGCTGTCCCCTTTGGAGAGCATGGGATGCTTCCACCACACGTCCCGTACGGCCAGCCTGGGACATGCAGGGGAGAGAGGAGCACAGAACTCCCGGGGGGCTGCCCAACCCATCAGCAAGGGAGGGCGTCTGGTCTCCGGGGGCAGGGGTCTGAGCCCAGTCTCTGCTTGGGAGGTGAGAGACGCCTCTGCAGATCCTGGGACGGTTTAAAGAGCTGTCTGGGCAAGGGCCCTTTCTGTTCTCTGGGGCCCTGTCTCACCCATTCAGCCGCGGGGGAGATCCCGCCCTTTGGAGGGTCTGGATGCTGGGTGTTTAGCCCTCCCTGTTTCAACGGGATGCTATTTCACATCCCCCACTGATATCATGTCAATCTCCTTCGTGCAGATGGCTGTGGCTCGTGGGCAGCTCCCCGGGGAGGGTGGGGGGAATGCCTGGGGCATCCCAGCAGACCAAGGGGCAGGGGCACAGGGGGTCGGCTGGGCATCCCATATGGGAAGAGGGCAGGTGATGGTGGGGTGGGCGGGGGAAGCCTGGCTGAGGGCCAGGGAGGAGAAGGGGCTAGACTGTAACTGCTTGGTCCCCTCCTTCCTTCCCCTCTTTTCATTCAAGGAGTTGTCTAGAGCCGCTCTCCCTCGATTGGTGGAGGTTTCTATTTGAAGTGTCTCTGCCTCTGTCCATTGGCTGGGGGGAGAGACCTGGCTGGAAGGGGGGCGGGGCCTGTGCCTTGAAATAGGAAGCCCAGCGCGGGTCTCCCCCGCCTCCTGGCGAAGACGGCGGGCCTGCCAGTGCCTTTGTCTGGCTGAGCTGGCAGAAGCAGGAGGCAGCAGCATTCGGTGGGGAAGCCGCCCGCTCCTGCCCGCTCTCGGCTGTCTACTCATCTCTGTTCCCTTCTTTGCAGCGAGTGGAGCGTGACCCCGGGGCAGACCCCACCAAGGCTGCCGGCCCCTTGGACTCGTCGGTCTGAGCTCCTCTGGAAGAGCAGAGGGATTTTGCTTCCGGGACTGACATTCAGCCTTAATCGTCGCTCCCAGGCCTGGGGGGCCTGTGACCCTTGATGGACACTGCTGCCCAGGGCACGGCGAGCGGGGTGGGCGGCGTGCGGAGGAGCAGCTTGGGGGCGTGCAGCAGCTGAGCAGCATGCCCGTGGAAACCCTCCAGGCTGGGGACGTGATGAAGGGGGTTTCGGTGACGGCGCCCTTCACCTCGGCAATGCCATTCCGGATCCTCAACAAGGGGCCCGAGTACTTCCGCCGGCAGGCGGCCACCGGCGCCAAGAAGCCCAGCGCCGTGGAGAGGCTGGAGGCGGACAAAGCCAAGTATGTGAAGAGCCAGCAGGTTGCCAGCACCAAGCAGGAGCCGGTGAAGCCACTCCTGAAGCAGCCCCTCTTCACCCCGGGGGTCCGGAGAGCCATGCTCACGCCCAGCCGCAAGACCCCGCAAGGGGGCCGCAGGGCGGAAGCCTGTGGGCCAAAGACCTCCTTGAACCTGGAGATCCTCAACAACCTCATCAACATCTGTGACAGCCCCCTGCCCTTCCCCAAGTCGGAGAGCCCCCGGGAGCACAAGTGGAGAGCAGAGACGAGGGAGCCCCCGGGCAAAGAGCGGGGCGGGCACCCCGCTGTGCAGAGGAGGAAGGGCCCCTCGGATGGCATGAGCAAGCTGTCGGAGAGCTCCGTCACGTCCAAGCCCTCCAGCACGGTGGCCGTGCGCAGAGTGGATGTCCGGCCCTGCGGGGTTCGTCGGGACAGGGTGACCCCAACCATCCAGGTCACCCCTGTGCCCATCTCACCCGCCAAGGCCAGGATCCCCTCTGCCAGCTCCCTTAGCTCACCAAATAGAAGCCCCCACAACAGGCGGACAGACAGCGCCAAGCGGCAGACTCTCCTGCACAGGTCCAAGTCCGACCTGAGTGACAGGTACTCCCGGGCCACGGCCGACCTGGAACGCTTCTTCAACTACTGCGGGCTGGACCCTGAGGAGGTCAGGGACATAGGGGTGGAGCACTTTGCCCGGGCCAGCTCGGACATCGTCTCCATCAAGTTTCACAGCGTCAGCACTGCCAGCTCGGAGTGCGCCCGCTCCCAGCGCAGCGCCGCCACCCTGGAGGACAAGCAGGCGGAGCGCATGCCCTATGGCATCTCCGTCATCGAGCGCAATGCCAGGGTGATCAAGTGGCTGTACGGACTACGGCAAGCCAGAGAGCCCCAAAAGGTATCCAACGTATAATGACTCCATGGATGCCACGAACTCTGATAGCAAAGCCTTTTAGTGTGTGTGTGTGTGATGTACAAGGGGGTGTTTTAATTTCTTGCATGACTCAGTCTGGTCCCGCTGGGAAACACCCTATGGTGGAGTCTCACTGATAGAGCATCCTTTAACTCTAGTCCCTGTCCCCTGTTGGCCTCTCCCAGCCCCTTACCCTACCCCTGGCCCGCGGCGTTCAGAGATCCAGTCCCTGCAGCGACGAGACGTCGCCAAGCCGAGAACTTCCAAGAGTTGCAAGGCCCTAGCGAAGAGAGAGGGCGCGTTTCCTTGGCACGGGGGCCAAGGGGAGGAGCGGGACCAGCCTGGCAGCACAAGTAGGGATGTTCAATATTCTCGGGAGTTACTGCAGGGCTGCACATTGTCTCGCTCAACAGAGCTGGCCCTGGGAAGGGGTTTCCTTCCTAATAGGAACTGATCCTGTAAATATGCAGGCTATTAATAAAGAGCCTGGAATATCGTCCCCCGTGAGCCAGTGCGAGGGCAAAGGGCTGGCTTGCACCTGCTTGCCTTGATCCTCTTTGGCACCTGCCCGCGCTGGCCTAGGAATCAGTTGACTGAGACCGCGCCAAGAGGACTGTAAACGCCCTCGCTATCATGAGGCGGTTGGAACACACGTGTGTACACACCTCGTGGGTGAGCCCAGGGGACTATCTGTGCAGCTCATGGCCCAGCCAACACACGCCCGCCTCCTGCAGTGCGGCTGAGGGTCTGGTTGTCGCAGTGGAGGGCTTTTCTCCAGCCCTGCATGCACAACACAAACACAACCCCCACAAAGGCTCTGCCACAAGCTGCCAGAAACCCGGGGGATCTGGTGCTAAGACTTTTACCCCACCCTGGACTGCACCCTCCAGCTGTGCGGAGCCTGCCCCTTCCTGCCGTGTTAGCGGGAATGTTCTTAGCTGGGTCGGCCACGTTAGCAGAGCTCCGGTTAACGGTAGCATCAGAAGTGCGTCTCCTGCACCCTAGGAGCCAGTTTGTGTCACCCCAGTTCGTGGTGCCTCGAATGAGCAGCCACCGTCCGGCACATCGTGCAACTTCTGTGCTTCCGCAAGGCCTGGTGTGCCTTCGGCGTGAAGTGTCCACGCTATCCATCCCTCAAATGGTCACCTCGGGGGGCCTCTGAAACCCCCCAGACCGCAAGTCTTTGTATTTTCTGCTCAGCCTTAATAGCTCCCACAGGAGTTCAGAGACAAAGCAGTTTTAGGAGGCAGCTTGATCCAGATGAAACTTAATTTTGGTTTTGTTTTGCTCTACACGGAGATCACTGCTTCAGTTACCGAGAGAACGTCGCCCCCCTCTGCACAAGTTTTCCCGGGGACTGAATTCTCCCAACTCACATTAGTTAAGCTCTTTTGTGGGGAGGAGGAAATGGGTGTTTATAGGAGAATCCCTGGGTTGCGAGCTTGGGGCGATTGTAACAAACGCGTGGAAAGAACAGCCGGGTCTGCTCGTTGAACGGACAGCCCGAGCGGCATGCTGTTCTGCGCCGGGACTCAGAGCTGTCCCTCCTGAACGTCCCCTTTCTGTTGTACTTTTATCTTGCTGCCCGACTCATTCTTTTTGCAGCTGCTACTTCGCTGTAGCTCTGTGTACATTTCACTGGAAGCCAGCTTGCGTTTGAAGAGCGGATCCTTGGGGAGATGCTTGTGTGTGTGTGTTTGGGGTGGGGTGGGGAGTGTACCTTGTAAGTGACGTATAATAGGAAAACTATTCTGTGGGGGGTTACTAGTTCCTTCCACTGGAAACAGTCTTATCACAAACATCCCGGTGATGTTGTGCGTCTTGATTTCATGCCCCAGCAGAGACGTTCCTCATGGATAACTGCCTGCCGCATGGAGCTATTTGGGAGCGAGTGTAGATTGGCGGGAGCTTTCTGAACTGCCTGGGGGAGAGCAATATAACCTCCTACCCCAGCTGGAAAGCGCACGCAGGGCAATACAGTAGCGTGGGAGGGACGGTACCACGTGCCAGCGCTGGCTCAGTAAAGCTCGGCAGCGAGGCTGAAAATAGCAAGAGACTCGGCTGCTTAGCCATAAAGGCAAAAATCTACCTCCTCAGTGTAGGCTCATCAAGGTTCGTGCTGTGTGTGTGTTTTTTTACGTGTGTATATGTGTGTGTTTGTACCTCTTTTCCTCTGCCACAGTCAAAAAAGCCCAAGAGTTCTGGGACTGCTGACCCCAGTTATTTATGAAGATGGTTCTGTATTGTTCTCGTCTCATTTTTACTGTATTTGCTGCCGTTCGTTCTGTAAAAGCCTGACTGGTTTTATTAAAGTCCTGTCTTTGGATGGTCTGTATTCGTTTTGTTCGAACTTGGCTGCAAACCAGCTGGACACCCCATAACTCTGGCGGGGGGACCACCCTGCAGCGGGATGGTTGCTGAATAAATATAATCCCCTTTTTTGGGCTGATCTCACCACAGCTGGGATCGAAGTGAGTCAATAATGGAGCTTGGGGGTACGTATGTGGCCCAGGCAGGGGCCATTCTGGCATGTGGGGACCTGCCCCCATCAGAAGGAGAAAATAAAATCAAAGTAAAAAAATCTCCCTCTTTCTCAGTTCTCTGCGCTGTTCACAGCGGAGAGTGTGACCAAAACCCTAGCACCTTGCTCCAGCCTGTGCCGGCTCAGCAGTGGTCCCCGCCCAGCCCCCAAAAGCAGCAGCAGGATGTCACTCAGTGGCACCTGCAGGAGTTGGAGGGCCCTGCGCGGAGGGGGATGGTGCCCCCGGGAGGTGCCGCTCTCCACAATTCCATAGTCCCTGAGCAGCTCTGCCAGGCTGATTCTGGCCTGCAAGGGGGGGTGCTCAGCCACTGCGGTACAGAGCCTTTGGAGAAGGGAACGCCCTTGTTTAAGGGAAAATCAAGGAGCAGGCAGAGCACGCAGTCTCTCAGGAGAGACAGAGATGGGAAACAGGCACGGTCTCATTTCCAGTTAACCCTTGCCCGGCTGCTAGCTGGCGCTTGTGTCCCAGGAGCTGGGCTCCACAGAAGGTCAGGGCACGCCTAGCAGGTTTCATGTGTAATCTGCTAAGTGCATGTTTAATGGCAAAGCATGTGTTGCCCTGCTGTGCCAGCCCCCATCTGTGCTAGCTGGAGGGCATGCCCCACTTACCGTCAGCGGTGGATCTGCAGAAGCATGTTTTGGGGGAGTGTGTGGGTGTTGGCTGGCTGCCGTGTGAGCTGCGGTACGCACATAGGCTGCTTGCAGCCCCTGTGGCTCATGCCATCTGCTTCTGCACTTGTCTCAGAGCTGGGGGCACCGGGGTGCTGATGGTATAAGCTGCATGGTTGGACAGCTTCCCTCTCCATCTCTGAAATCTGCACCAATCCGCGCCCAGGTTACAAAGGTCTTGAAGGATTCCGGTGCAGCGGGAGAGAGGGAGACCTGCTCCCATCCTGCTCTGGTGAAGTTAAACACGTTGCACCATCCTAGAACGAAAGAAATCACTGCACGGCACCGGTGTAGTGCGAGGGCATCGCTGCCTCCCAGCTACCGTGCTCTTTGGGCAGCAAAGCGACCACCAGGGGTACAGGCTGCTGGGAGCATCCACAAGCAGCCAGGCCAGGAGCACGGGATTTCCCTCTGCTGCTGGGGAATGTCCCAAGGCAGAGTCCTGCTTTGTGCTGTTACAGCACTTTGGGAACAGTCACAGGGGAGGCCGATCAGTGCTGATAGGGGAAGTGCTGGCTCAGCTCAGACAACCAGGGACTTTCCATCAGCTCATCCTGGCTCTGACAACAACTCTGTCTTCGATCCTGGGCAAGTCACTTAACCTCTCTGTCTCCGTTTCCCCATCTGGGAAATGGGGAAGGTGATCATTACGGGCAGGCATCTAAGGAAGGTTCATTAAGGTTTCTGAAGTGCCCTGAAGAGGAAAAGTGCTAAGTGTTATCCCCAGACAGCTCTGCCAATGCGCCTCAGTCCTGACCTAGGCCAGCTCTGGTTTCCTAGGGCTGGGTCCCTGTATAGTTCTTCAGATGCCCTTGCGTCACATCATCCTGCCTTTTTGTCAATAGAAGATACTTCTGTGAAACAACTCTACCCGCCCCCCCCAGCGAACCGTCTTTAAGAACTGGGATAGAAAATTTTCCGCTTTCAAAGGAGCAATCTCGGTGCATAATCAAAGGCCATGGCGGTCTGTTTTCGTAGTCACATGAACTGGGAGGAAATCATGTAACAAGCATAATTCGGATGATCCCATGCTGTTTCTATAACTTGACCGGAGATTTCTAGTACCAGGACCTTGCCAAACAATGCACCAACTCCCCCAACTCTTCCCCAGCCCGCTTTTCAACAGTCTGCAGCAGGCTCACTGGCGAACCGCATAGTCCAAATCCAGGGGTCTTCAGTCAGAACCTCTGCTGGGCAGACAGGCCAAAGAGCAACGCACAAAACCCCCACACAACTGTCAATAAATTCCTCTTGCCAGCCAGGAGCAGTGGCGTGGCACCAAGAGCGTGTTGCGGCCCATGGCAGTAGTCCCTACAGGCGGTGAACAGAAGGCTGTCTCTCCGCCGCAGGCCTTGCCGACATGGGAAAGGGTCTTTGGTCAGTATAAGCTAAGGTGTGAATTTAAGCCAGTGTAGTTCTGCTGTTGTAACTCCCGCTGTGTGGACTCTTGGGAAGGGGTTTTTAGCTAAACCAGAAAAAAGTCCCTCTAATACTGGACGAAGAGTGTTTCCATACGGGGTTATAGTGGTGTAACTATTGCATATCTGGTCACGCCTTCCTGTGTAGACAAGGCCTAAAGGCTGTCAGAGCTTCTCACAAGCAGTCAGCATAGAGTGTCCTTGGGAGACCATGTGTTGTGTCGGAGCGAGGTGTGTGATTTCCTCCCCCCCCCCCCCACGTGTGGTGTGTGCATGCCCTGCTCGCCTGTCCCCTCTGCAGAGATACCGCACTGCCCTTTGATCTGGAAATGAAGCAGTTCTCTATTGTGTCCATTGCACGTGTTTCTTCCTGTTGCTTAACTGTGGCATATTCTCTTTATACAGCTCAGGGGTTCCTCCTCCAGGTAGTGTCAGGTTGCTTTGGGGTGTCTGGTTTGCTGGATCATTGATTTGGGTTGCGTTAAATAACCAAAAGACTTCCTGCATCCCCATCAAAGGGGCGATCCCAGGGAAGGCTGCCAGCAGCTGATTTGCATGAAATCTTGTTAGCCTGATTGGTTTTGATACCTCTCGACAGAACGTTCAGGGCGGTGCAAATGGAGCTCTGCCTTGTTTCGGGGTTTATTGGCACACAGGGAGACGTCTGGAACACACCGTTAAACTCCCCACGATAACCGCTCGGGCTGGGCAGGAAGGCAGAAGCTGGTCTAGGGACGAATTGCAAGCAGCAGGGCTACTGCCCCCGTCGTGGCCCAGCACTGCCAGGTCCGAATCGCCGTTGTTCAGAGGAGGGGAGCAGAGAGGCTGGCCTAGTGGGACCGTTACGGGCACGGTGACAGCAGGAGCTTCCGTAAAAAGACCACGTCATGCAGCTTACAGGGGGGCAGATGTGTGGGGCCAGCGCGCCTGACGATTGGTTTTTCCTTATTTAGAAAGTGATTGTAAATCCCAGCTCCACGCGCCCGCTTTGTCTAATCCCCCGCACAAAGGGGCCAGTGTGCAGCTAGCCCGGCGTTCCCTTCTCTCCCTAGTCACAGGCTCTAGTGCACTAACCAGAGACTTACGGCTGACCGGGGGCAGCCTGGGGGAGGCTCTAGGGAGACTTCACAGATTAAGAAGTGGAGAAGGCACCGGCTCACATTCAGAGCGCTCTTCTTCCCTGCCCTGCTGCTATAACAGGACCCCCCTGAGCTGCTGCTGCCACACTAAAGTGCTTAAGCGACAGCAGCCTCAGGCCCTACCCTGCTGAATTGCCGGCGCAAAACAAAAATGTGCAGCTGTAGCAAAGAGAGTTCAGCACGGCTGGTCTGAAGCGCAAGCGCTTGGGGGTTACCCAGAGCACCAGTGCACAGGGTTAGTGGTCTCGGAATGACAAGGGCTCTTTCTTCTCGATGCCACTCGGCATGTGCCTCTGGGACAGCTGAGTACAGCAGCGATCCGGGCTAGGGCTTGTCTGAAGCAGCAGCTGAATGGCCAGGTGCCGGAACACCCCAGAATCTGGAGCAAAGGAGGATGCAAAAGTCAGGAACTTAAAAGAAAAACAGAGCCCCACTGGGCAGCTCCCCCTGCACCCTGGTGTCAGTGCACGGGAGGGGAATCGGCCAAAGAAACAACCAAGGGGCTGGACTGAGGGCTTGATTTACGAGGCCAGATCCAGAGAGACGTGTGCACCTTGGCTAAATGACAGCAAGGGGGTATTAGAGCGACAAGGTGGGGAGGGAACATTGCACCCACTCCGGTTGGTGAGAGAGACGAGATTTGGAGCCGCACAGAGCTCTTCGGGTCTGCGAAAGGTGCTCCCAGCGTCACGGCCAGATGCCAGGTGGAACAGATTGTTTGGCATAAATGGTTCGCACCTATTCTTAGGGGCCAGTCCAGGCGGTCTGGCAGGTCCCCGTGGATGGGAGAATGGTGTAAGCTCCGTGGAGGGACAAGAATTGTCTAGGGTTGCCCTAGAAGTAAGGGGCTGACGGGAAGTCTCCTAACCATGAGATTGGGGAGCGGGAGGAAGGGGAGTCTCATTATCGGAGTCGTTGGGACGAAGCACAATGGAGAACATCACAGCCTAGAAGATCGCAGTGGTCTGGATTGGAACCGGGAGCAGCCCCTGCCAGCAGCCTGGGTCCACATCAGCCCTTCCTGGGTGGCTCGGAGCACAGCCTCCTTGCCTGTCTCAGTGGCCAGCAGCTAGTTTCCTATGGGTCCTCTGACAGCTTTCATCTGGGGGTTGGGCAGATAATCTCTCCGAGCCCCTTACTGCCCTGCTGGATGCAGAAGCACCTGCTCTCCAGGGCTCATGCTAGGAGACGTTACCTATGTTATTCCCTCCTTGGGGGCCCAGATGTTTCGATAGACACCCCCCGGCATGAAGGGGAGGGGGGGCTGGCTCCGCCAGCATCAGAAAGGTCCGTAACAGGAGCGGAGGGGATACCAGGGATAGAGCCCTGACCAGGAGGACGGATGGCACCGAGGAAGAGAACATGGAGGCGCCTTTGAAGGGGTAGCAGTGTGGCTGCACCTTTATGCATTTGACATGAAATCAGTCCACCGATTGTCCGCGTGTGGACTCCGGGTCTGGGCAGGGCAGGACTGGGTCTGGGACGTGAGCTCGGCGTGTGGCGAGGTGGGACCTGGATGGGATTTGGGCTCCGAGCCCACACCAAGGGCTGGGCTGCCTGTCC